TTATTCCACCTCCATTGAACAATTAATATATTGTCATCCTTGTTAACAGAGTGTGGCTGGGCAGCAGGACAGTCCCTCAACTTCCACTTCACAGATTGTCAGGAGGGTGGGTCTCAGGGAGGACTCAGTTGCAGAGAGGGTCGATTCAAAGGGTTTATTTGAACAAAAAACACTCAAAAGGAGTGGCTGACCAGGCAAGGTTCAAAACAAGGGAGACAAAACTATGAACAAAGTATCAAAGCAAGATTAACATGACTGTGAACAAAGTATCAAAGCAAGTAAACAAGACTATGGGCAAAGTCAAATAGAGTAAACAAGACTGTGGCAAAACAAGGCTGTGACAAAGTGCAAAAATCAAAATCTTACGTGGCGTGGGCAAGACGAGGAACAAAAAGACAATGACAGCAAAATGACAAAAATGACGAAAACTCACTGGCAGAGGAACAAAGACACAATGGCACAGGACAAGGGGAAACGAGGACTATTTAAACGAGGGAAGGGAACCCAAGGTGTACACAATAGGTAATCAAGGAACACGTGACAACACACCAGAAATTCCCCCAGACGTGACACAGATAAATGCTCATCAAACACCAGATGGTCATTCTGCGAAATTCATGTGCAACTGTTTGTTTTAATGTCTTAATTAATTTTGTAGCCCATCTACCTGTTAAATAATTGTACAGAATTCTCCTTCTGACAAAAATACAAAGAACATATCAAGAAATGGTGTACTTTGTCCGCCAGATTTGGAGGGCAGATCTGTAAATAGCAGTGGCGGACCGTGCATTTCACACCTAGGCCTTCAGTTGTGCTCCGTCTGAATCAATTCACTATTCTATGGTTATAGAAATCATCTTATTATGTAGAAATACAGTAGGGATGTCCTGATCCAGATTTTTGCACTTCCGATCCGATACCGACACTGGCCGATACCGATACCTGCCTATCAGAGCATGTATTAATGTTTAAAGTTATTTAGCCGACTCACTTAGTTGTCAGACTCGTGTTGAACAGGGATTTACTCTCATAACAACTTAATGGTTAGGAGACAGATCTGTGGGTTATGAGAAGCTAATGCTCGTGTAGGTTCGGATTTTTTTTAAAAAATGGATCGGGAGTCTGGATCCGTATTTTCTCCTGCCGGCCGATACGCTTTTTTTTTATATCGGCGGGCGATCCGATCCAAATATCGGATCGGGACAAGCCTAAAATACAATATTAAGATCAGGGGTGCACAAATCTGCTACAATTGCAGCTACAGCTGCAACTCCCCACTCCCACTCCCCCCCCAAAAAAACATCAATAATATCCTCATAAACTCACAATATTATTTAGGAAAAAAGCAACATTTTACTCACTTACTTTTCTTGAAAAGTGCATCTTGAAAATGGCCTTGACATTAAATCTGCCACCAAATCAATTTCTTCTCCTCCAGCCATTGTGGGGTGATAAAATAGATATTGCACTAACACAACTATATTTCGGTTAGTTTGCTTGCTTTGGCTGGTACGCTGTTTGACTATCCAATCAACGGGTGTGAATACGGTGACGTTCCCTTAGGCCTTCTAGAAGGCCCTGGTGTCACCAACTTAAAATGTGATTGGTTAAAGCAACAGTTTAATCAACATGTATTTTCTGTTAGGGGGCCTGCAGAACGGATTGTGAAGGCTTCCAGGCAGACATCTTTCACTTCGACCCTGCCTAACAACAAATGATGGCTGAAATGTGATTGGTTAAATGCTTTTATATGAAAATGCATTTCTGGAAGCAGCACAACCAGGGGAAAAGCTATGAAAGGTGCGGACAGACCATTTAGAGATAAGTATTCATGGACAAAATATAATTAACATCAGTCTGTGATTCAGATACTTTCTTAGGCCAGCAGAGAAGGCCTTGCAGGCCCTGACGGCCCACCACTGGTAAATAGAAATACTCAATTACAAGTAAGCAGTTTTTGCATGGTCACAGGCGAGTCATGTCAACTATTGGAAAGATACAAAAACTAATTTGAGGGTGCATTTATAGGACATAAATGCTGCTTTGGCGGTGATGATTGTGACTTAAAGTGAGAAATTACCCTGGCAGATGGTGTCTCACTATTCTCCCATCCTGGATAGCTGGCAGGTGGCTTGAGTCGTCATCAGGATCTTCAGTTTGTAGGTCAGGATACTGTTCTCCTATAATAGTGGCAATATTGTGAAGAACAACACAAACCACAGGTATATATTGGGAAATCCTAATAGGATTATAAAGTGACTAATCCAGGTTGCAGCACAATGTCATTGAGAGAATATAATTAAAAATTTTCTAACAGATTATTTACCTACAATCCTGTGGAACTCCTCCTTGAAGGCTCGGATGGGTATATTCCCCAGGAAATTAACAAGGCAGGGGAAAAAAACCTTTCACACTGTTACCTTTGTTACAACCGCAAGATGGATGTGATTTTGTTTTCTGGACCCCAAATCATCTATTGCTCTGCCTCTAGGATGGGGTGCTGCTTTGTGGGTCTCAGAAATCACCTGCACCCTATCTGAGGCCTGTGAAGCTGCACTGGCATTGGCTAGGTAGGTTATTTTGTAGGTTTGTATCTTTTGTTTTAATTCTGAGATAGATAAGTTACCTTTTCTTTTCTTTTAGGGTGGTTTTGTTTGTTATTTTGGCAGGGGCTCTCCCTGAAACCATAATAAACCTCTCTAAATGCCTTTTGACTCCTGCATTCACTGTCTAAATCTATGTTAGTCCCTTACATCTCCTAGACTCAGCCAGGGGACGTAACATGTTACTCAAAAGTTCAGCATCTCCCATATTATATTAAAAAAAATACAGTTTGCAAAGAAAAAAACACAGAGCTACAAATCTGTTTGAATTTTAGACCATTAATGCTGAAAACGTGTGGACAGATAAGGTGGTAGTTGTATGTTATTGAGTGGGAGGTAAAAAAGATAAGAAAGAATGTCTGCAGGGGCTCTGATAACCCTCTCGCGACAAATATTAAATTCGCTCCGAATTAATGCCGTGACTTCATCAATGGGATCCTCGTCAAAAGGACATGCCATATGTAATTAGAACTCTCAGAAGTAGAGAAAATGTTTTATTCAGTGTGGGTGCATTTTTCTCAGTTACCATCTCTTGGTACATTTGTTCTAAAAATGTGTCCTTCACGAGGGTCATATGAAAGACATAAATCATTAAAATTCATATGGAGAAAAAAAAATTGTGTTTTTATGGTTATGCATCTAATCCCTGGATCCATTTGAAATAATATAAACAGTGATAATTAAAATGGCTGGGCAAAAGTATTGACTCTAACCATCAATCAAACAGATTTGATTACAACTGTAACCACATACCACAATTTGACAGTACTTTGCAGAATTATGATCTGAAGGTCTTTATCCTCAAAATAGGTGCTCTTGCAATGCTAGCATCTTTGGGTCTGAATTAAAGAGCTCATTCATTCGGCAAACCATCCATCCATCCATTTTCCACCGCTTAACGGTCGGGTCGCAGGGGCAGCAGACCAAACAGGGAACCCAGACTCCCCTCCCCCGCCACTTCTGCCAGCTCCTCCAGGGGAACCCAATTAGGCAAACCTGCATATGAAATAAAACCAAGAACTGTGTAGGGAACTTATTATCTTTAAATACATCAATGTCATATAAAAGGTATTTTCAATTAACTAGTTAAGAAAGGATAGCAAACTGGAATGGTCCAATTGAATTGAACATTTTCTATTCCAGGCAGTTTCCCTAGCCTATAGAAAACATTCTTTGACACATGATCATGTTCGGTATGACCAATTGGAAATCTTGCAATATCCTTAGAGATTCCATTAAACTAAGAATATGGCGTGAAAGCCTTCAATCCTGTTCTTTCTTTGACCCGACACAAAGACGGAGTCTTTGCAACAAATGGTGCAATCCATTGAACAGCCTATAGCCTATAGCCTCCATCACGCTAAGTACAGCCCACTAAGCACCCACACAGGCACCAAGCTGAGCTAGGATCTCGAAGCAATCACTTTTCAGAATTGAAAGCTGTTAAAGATATTGTCAGGTCTTTTATGTACAGCTGTTAGGGGGAGGGGTGAGTATTTCAGCTTTTTTCTCACTTGACTTTGACACAAAGAGCCAAATTTGAAGGTTAGTTTGATCAACCCTTAGAAAAACAAAACAAAGCATAACTTGAAAACCTATTTTTCTAAAGACAATGCAAAATATTCAGAAGGTTGAGTTATACGTGCTAAATGGAGTAACGGAAACCAAGTTCACATTGTTACATTCACATGACAGCAAGGAGGAGTTGAACAAAAGTCAAAATACAGGAATGTGACAGGCTAGAACCGTCTCCTCTTTTTAAGAACACTGTGTTTTAGTTGTTGAAGTGTGTAGTGCTGCAATATGTGAGCTTGTGTGCTTCTTTTAGCTTTTCTCCACTAGTACCTATTCAGGACTACTCAGATTTAGTAAATGTAGCAGCATAAATGGTACGCTGCCACTTTAAGACCAATTGCGGCTCCTGCATATAAGCAGGTATCCACCTGCCACGAAGCTGCGTGCGTCATGACGTCGTGTCATTTTGGTTCCGGTGTCTGCTGAGCGGTGCTGGGTAAGGGCTAGCGTGGCTAGATAACATTCACCACATTTAAACAAAGCCTTCACATACCATTTTGTTACAGCTGTGCGGCATAGGCGGAATTGCGACAACAGTTTATCTGGCAGCCTGGTAATGCGACAGGTATGCGGCTATCGTAAATACTAGTTTTCATCAGCAGTTGTAATGACGATCTGCTCTATTTCTTTTAGCCTCCCGATGAGTCTTTGACCACCATAATATTGGATTTGACACTCGCTGCTGTTTTGCCTACGGAAATTCTTCAAAAGACCTTTCTGAACTTTCTCCTGGCGCCGGAGCGTTGATGGCACTACGAAGTGCAATATTGTAGTGCTATGGATTACTGTTTTACTCATATTGTTTCTTTTTTTTTCCTTTAGGGACTGAGGCTTCTGTGGTGGCGGTGGTGATCCCTGGTGGCGGTGTCTTGGTTTGTGTGTTTTGTTGGAGCACCTTCTTTTTTTGTTTGCCGTGTTTTTGTAGTGTCCAGGGTGGTCCCTTTTCTTCACTGGATGTTGCCCCTTTTCTCATCACTTCCCCCCCCACTGGTAAGCCTCAGTTTCCTCTTATGAAATTATTTTATAGTTAATCTTATTAAAGAATGTAGTTACTGTTTTAACCATTTAATTGCAGATTATTGTGACCACTTTTAAACGGGGGGAAGAATATTGGAGTTAATAAACTTTTGTAAAAGAAAAGCATTTGAATCTTGTCTCACTTCCAGTAGAACTTACCTGTGTCCTTACTATTTTATTTTTCCTGGAGTCATTCCAGGTGGCGTTGTTGGTATCCCATATTAATTTTAAACCTCTTATATTTGGGTTTCATAAAAAAGGAGAAAATCCATCCACCCCTCTCCCCCAGGTTGCCACATAAATTATTTTGCATTTCCTTTAGGTGCAAACACTTGTTACCTGTTACAATTTTAGCATCTACTTGGCCGTCATTGCAAGCAAACATCAAGCAGACTACAGATTGCATGCCACTGACTGGCCAGGGTTATGAAAGTGTCTACTTCACAAACCAAAACCCTCTTTCAAAACATGTGGAAAAAACAAATTACAGTTCAAAATGAACAGAATAGTACAAACAAAGCATGCAATAGCCTAACTGCCTTGGTTTAGACAGAAGAAAAACACACAGCAAAATGAACATAGCATCATTTCTGTTAGTGCCAATGGGTTAAATAGCCACTCATAAGCCAACATCACAGTTTACTGACGAAGTTCAAATGGTATATAATCAACATGATGTCCTTCATTGTTTCATCGTGTTTGTGTTGTGTACAAATGACACCATCGGACTTTCAGTCAATCTTATTTTTATGAACTCACTAAAACCTAAACAAAGCTAGTTAAGTCAAGTAAAGTAAAGTAGAGACGGCTATGAGCAACCCTGGCAATGACTTCACAACGCCGTTGAATGCGCTCCCAGATATCTAATGTCAGTAGCACATCAATTAAGTACTGTAATGATGCATCACATGGTCCTGCTAGTAGACACTTACCGGTACCTCTGAAAACTTGGGGTACACCGCATGCTGATGATTTCAGAGCTACTCCAATCGAGTCATGCAGCAGCTTTAACTTTGATATTCGTCTACTTTTCTAACATCCAGTTGACGTGACCAGATGTCTTTTTGGCTCATTAGGTCTTCAGATATATATATATATCTTTTCTGAAATTAAAACTTTTAAAGCTATGGGCAGTTGGATAGCTCTAATCAGAAAGAGGAAACTCAATGACTAAGGACAATAAAGTATAGCGTTTTCTGCCTCTTTAATATGTTAAGAAAGCTGATCTATAAAAACATCTGTCTCTTTCATAACATTTTTTTTATCTTAAAATCTCCATTTTATTCGCTGTGATTCAGTATTTGTGGTAATTGTGTCCTGGTATATCACTCAACCTGTTGAGTAGATAACATAGGTACATACTAACCTTTGCAATGTGAATCACTGCATGTGTCTCAACTGTCACTGATAAGGTTTGTGATGGAGGGCTGTTGGTAGGACAGTGTGGGTTAAGAATTATTCCAGGCAATTATATTAACCCAGCTTCATATCAAAGGCAAGATCAGAGCAATTTCCTTCACCCAGCCGTCTTTCCTTCTTGACCGTTCGTTACGCCACGGATCACGTGAAATGCATGTGCCTTAGTAAAGATCACTTACACCAATGCAAGTCAGCCTAGACCCCCTTCATTTCTAAAGAGAATATTATACACAATAAAATGTGGACATATAACTGGTCAGACATTTGGATTCAATATAAATGAAACCAAAAGAAGACTAAGAAACAGAACACATGCTGCTTAAGGGCCCAATTGTGATGACGGTGGATTCTAGTAAATCGTGCTGATATTTAAAAAATTATGACACCGCAGAATTTTTCACGGAGTACAGTGGGGTATTTTTCAACTTGTTGAGAGGGTATACTCTGACCAACCATACCTGAGTCTGCTGAAAGTTGCACTTTTTAGCAGTTGCCAGTTGCTTTATATTGTAGATAATGTGTGAAATGTAGGTGATGATAGTTAATGTGGTTGCTTATGTAACTATTTTTCTGAGTGATTGGAATTAGATATTACCTTAAACCCCTCACAGATGATTTAATCAGAGGACACAGAGGAGTGATGTTTTCACTGAGATGCATTCAATGTTCAAGTGCACAACATTAAAATCTGCCCATTCTATTTCTCAAGGTTCACACTGATGGCCTTTCAGTGGTGGAACAACCATAATTTTTACGTTTTCACAAAAATAAGTGTCACAATGGTCCTTTCTCATAAGATTTCTCATAAGTAGGTATACTGAACTTATACAAACAAAGACTGTGCTGTTGGACAAAGAAAACAGCTTAGGTCCAACGTTAAAAGGTCTTAAGGATGCTGAAAAAATCCACATGCTCATACGGAAAGAATAATATGAAGGAGATGTTTGCTAGGAAACCTCTCCACAACAAAAATAAAGATTTTTGGCCTCAGTTTTTAACTAGATTTTTTACTTTTAACCCTCTGGGTGACTCAGAATTTATGAAAAGAAAAAGGAAAAAAAGTATTCTTTTTTTTTTTTAACCATGTCCTGTTTAGCATTAATGCAACAGAACTAAAATCTGAGTATCGTTTTATGCTGAACAAATTTGCTTAGCCAACGGAGACTTTGTTGCTGAGAAGCCCCCCTTGACTACCCAAAACTGCTTTATTTATTCATTTTGTTACCAAACTTACATGTGTCCAATAATGCCGAACCTGACAGAGGGACAGGGAAGAAAGAAGAGCAGTGGAAAGGAAAGAGATCCTTTAGACAGAGAGAGAAAGAGAATACAGCGCTGCGTGTCCAGAGCCCGTAAAATCATCGCAGACCCCTCACACCCCCACCATGATGTGTTCTCCCTGTTGCCCTCTGGGAAGAGGTTCCGCAGCATCCGCTGCAGGTCCACAAGGCTATACAACAGCTTTTTCCCTGTTGTCATTAGACTTCTAAATGATTGAATCCTTTTCTTGTCTAAAGCTGTATGCAAATGAAATTTCGTTTTGTGTGCACTCCATACACACAAAATGACAGTAAAGTTGTCTATGTCTATGTCTAAAAAGAAAAAGAAGGAAAGACAACAAAAACATTAAACCAGTCTGCTATGTCTGTAAAAAAAGTAACTGTTCCTTGTGGGAAATCGGGGTCGAGAACCTATAGGTGCTCCTGCTCCTACTATAGCTTGGGTTGCTCAGTATGACGTGGAACGAAGACATTAAAGCATTTATGGTGCTTTAAATTCCGATTGATAAATGGTAGATCAGAGATTTCAAGATTTTCACAAAGTGTATGTTCAACATTCAGCCACGGATCATCTTGGTTTTTTTTATTTTTGCCATTTTAGTATAAAAATAAGCCTACTGGCTAGAAAGTGGTGATGAAAGTTAGGTACATCTAATCCACCACTGTCTCTTGTCTTTTGGAGAGTTTTTAAACTGATGTGTGGAAGTTTGCTTTCCACAAAAACTTGGAATTACATGAATCTAGTGATTTAAAACAAGTGAAAGCTTCATTATTCCCGTAGTCTTATTATAAGGTAAATGTAAGCTGCAGGCCTATTTCTTATCCTTCCACATCCAGTATTCTTTCCTCCTCATTCAGAGAATCTGTTGTTAACCATTTTTTTTTTTTTTTTTTTTCTTCTTCCTGCTCTCGGCGAGTGCAGACGTGTTTCTCTCAGCTCCCCTTCCCTCCCCTTGTCCTTGGTGCTTTTGCTATCTCTGTCCTGTCTCATCTCAAAGCTTCTCTCTGCATTTTTACTTCCTAAAGCCTAACATCAACCATGGATTTGGTCGGCTGGTCTCTCAACGCAATTGACAAAATCTTTTCAACCCAAAGACAAGCTGCGGGGGCTGCAACTTGTCCAGCCGGGACTCACCCTGCGGGTTACACGATGGATGCCTGGAAGAGCTGGAGGGTTTAATGCCTTTCAGTTCTTTCCGTGGAGGACGTCGAGGACCTGTATCTATTTGGATTCATGATAACCGGGTTCCTGCTGTTTGGAGTTGGTGGATACCTGGTTTTTCGAGAAATTCGGAAGCTGAGGGCAACTGGTGGCGGGTTGCCTGTTGAGCCGGTTTACCGGGCCATCAACGCTCAGACTCAAACCTTGTGCGAGTTGTCTCGCAAACATGATGCGCTGGTAAGCAAAATGGGGACGATGTGTGACAGCATGAGGGTGATGGGGAACAACTTGGAGAAGGTGGTGGTTCAGATGGATGGAAATTAACACAATTCGGCTGAATTGGATCGCCATTGAGAGACCTGCTGAGGACTTAAGGCAGACAAAACACGCTCTGTCTGGAACAAAGCTATCTCTCTTATCTCAATCTGGCCTCCCGAGAGCGGCCTTGCAGCTGCTACTCTGCAACTTTGCCCTGGATGAAACTGCAGACGGACGCTTTGCCCCCCCCCACCCCCTCCCTCTTCCCAAGCAGGAGTTTGGGCATCACAAGGACAAATTCCATCCTGCCTGTGGATGTGGACTTCAGCTTGTTACCAAAACTTACATGTGTCCAATAATGCCAAACCTGACAGAGGGACAGGGAAGAAAGAAGAGCAGTGGAAAGGAAAGAGATCCTGTTGTTAACCATTTACAGACACACAATTACAGACTTCATGCATTCCTTGGACTCACTGCCTCGCTGTTACCTTTCCCCTTCCTTCCAATCCCCCCATCCCTCCCTCCCTATGTGTCCTTGATTTGACTGTATCTGTGCTTAAGTGTACTGAGTTGTTTTTTTAAATCACTGTTACGTCCCCTGTAGGGGGCGTGGCACTGGGCCTTTTTTTTCCCTCTTCCTGCAACTGCTTTCCCAATGTATTCTGTATTCTTTTGGTTCTGATTCGGGCGCTGTGTAGACGGCTGCCTCTCCAGTATCTTCTGGTAACCTTAATTTCCTGAGGGAGTCTTCCCAAGGGATCAATAAAGTTCAGTCTAAGTCTAAGTCTAAGTCTACTACTATTTAAATATTGTTATTCCCTGTTTTTCGGACCACTATATGTACAGCACTCTCTCACCATCTGAATCAACCCTGTAGCTAATCTGATTTTATCTCAGGATTTGGCTGCCAGAACTTCTTATATTACATGAAACATTTGTGTCACATAATCTCTGCTGGTCAAAAGCAAATATTTTTCTACTTGGACTGGTGTTTCTTTTTTTTTTGGTACATTGTTTATTTAAAAAATAATGAGCTGCTACAGTTGAATTGAAAATCTGTCTTAATATTCATAGGAGGGTCTCCTCAAATTTTTAGCAATTCAGAAACTCCAGCCATTTTTCAACTGCTTATTGAAAGGTGTAAGCAGAGGGCACCAGACCTCCCTCTACCCATCCATCTTGTCTTCACAGAGTACAGTGGCCTATTCTTCATCTAATCAAGCGAGTGTGTTCTCTCCAGCAGTCAGCCCTGGCTCTGCTGCAAGGCCTCAAGGTTGGAAAACATGTCCGAAACACCTAACCTGAAGAGATTCTGTCTGAATGCGTCAACGTTTTCAACTGGAAACCTTCTATGTTAATATCCAACAACTCATAACTTCATCTCAGAGTGTCCCGACCACCTTTTCGTCATTTCAGCTGCTTGCATAAATGCTCTCTTTGCTTTGTATTTTTTTTATTATCGATACCCTCATGTACAAAGATGAAGTTCGAGGCATACATCAGTAAGTAAATCTCGGCTCTCTCTTTATCATAACCAACTGGTGTAAGGTCTGCATCTGTTTTTTCTACTCCCACTTTTACTTTTGACCACTCTACCTCTATAAATCAATTTTCCTTTTGGATCTGGGAGACATTTCAGCTCATATCAGGATGACTTCTTCAGTTAAAGAAGTGACTGACTCACAGATTTTTGCTAAACGTTTTAGCTTTTTTAAGATGTAATTTTGGCCTATCCTGAGTAAAGCTACCCAATCTGCATTAAATCAGCTGTCCAATCAGCATAAACTCCTGGAACCTTTGTACTGAAAGTGCATTGGAACAAAATAAATAAAAAAAATAGACAAAAGAAAAACAAAGGTTTTTTACATTAAAATCTTGTAAAAGTTGTCATGGATAAATTTTACTGTCACTGAAGGTCCTAAAGACCACCTGTCAGAAATAATGTCTGCGACTCAACGTTTTTCTCTGTGGAGACCTGCTAAAGTATATTTGTAATTATCCAAAAGAGAAGAAAGATCATCTCTTCCTGAAATGATTAACCAACCAAGTGCCTCCAATCACTAATCTGCTTAGTGGTTTCAGTTCTGTTGCCTAAAGAAAAATGACAGGCTTCCCCAACTTGAACTGCTCATTCCACCAACTTTATTCAGCAACCACCAGCCACAACCATTTTCCCATGTTTGCATATCATCCATCCATCCATCCATTATCGTTACTGCTTATTCCCTAATGGGGTCGCGGGGAGAACTGGAGCCTATCCCAGTGGTCAATGGTCCAGAGGCAGGGTACATCCTAGACAGTCCGCCAGTCCATCGCAGGGCCACACACAAGACATACAAGAACAAACAACCAAGCACACTGTCTGCATATCAGAAATACTGTAAATGTGTTTCTGTATGCCACACTGATCCTTCACACACCCTGGCCACATAATGCGTTTAACTGCCAGTCCCCAGAACATCCACTTATCTATGACGCTATGTTGCACAACTAAGATATAGACCACATTCTCCCTCTTAGTTTTTGTCAGAGGACATCATCCAAGTACGACACTAACAGAGAGGATTGTTGACCATCAGACAAACCTCTGTTTATTATGACAGTGTGTTCTTTGAATACTCCTGGAATCATACATTCTTTACTACACAATCTTCATTCCTCTAAAGTTCTAATGACCTTTAATATATTAACTGAAAGTATACCCAAAATGAGAAAAAGAAGGAAACAAAGTAATTTGCTTTTTACACACAATGTATCAATGTGTTCAAAACAATAGATAGAGAAGGTTTAATTCCACTTACAATTTACAGATTTGATGTATTTTGAAGGGCATTTAATTTTATCAAGGCATAAATTTGCTCTACTTTTCACATCTTTTGCTTTTTTATCCAAGTTGCAGGTAAGGGGAAAATAATTTCTCAGATCTTAATGGCACAGTGCATAGTTTCTTATCAAATAACCAACCCATGTTGTTTTTATTCATAATTACAAATATGCATGTATTTACATCTGCAAATACGACGTGAACATGATTTTTCAATTTATGGTATAAAAGGTGTGTGTCAAATTTGGGGTTGAAAAGGATGTTGTAAAAAACAAACAAAAAAGAAATACACCCACACACTTTCACACCAGTATCAAAGAAAGAATTGGATGACAATGTATATTAGCTCTCAGTGGGAGTGTCTCAACCAATCACAACCTTTATGTTAAGACTGCCCACTTTCAATAGGATGTAGAAAAGTACCAGACAGTTATAGGAACATTTAACTTAATTTCAAAACTCTTCCAGATGGATGGGCTGAAGATAAACAAAATCATGCAATGCTGAATTTTCTTGTCATTGTAGTACTTCCAAACTGAAATATCATTTAAATTCAAAATGTTCTTCATTGACCCAGCAGCAGTAAATAACTTATTTGATTTGATTATGTTTGTGTTCACATTTCTTAGAAACACAAAGAGAATATTGCAGTAAAAAGTGCAATATTTGTTCGTATAAAAAATGTTATTGGGCTTTTCTTTATTAAACAGTACCTCAAAATGTGTACCTCAAAAACTGATATATTATTTATTAAATCATATGCATGATAATGTGATTAATTGCAAATAAAACTTTGAATAATTGCCCATCAGTAAGTAAAATGCATGTGTGGGAATGCCACTTGGGGTTGAATTAGCAAGATAAGGTGTGAAAAGATACATAAACATACTATTCATGTGGTCTCTGAAGTTATAAAACTGGTAGAAATCAGGCCACAAATGTGGCTTTACCCCTTCATGAAAGCAAAAAGCATTTGTCTGAAATGAAGGGGGGGGTATACATAGAGGTCACAGATAATTAGAAGAGGCCTGGATGAAATGCAACCATTGGCAGCTTTCCCAGAACATCAGTGTCGTGACAAGGTTGAACACGAGGTGTCAGATTTCAGAGACTCAACAAGCATTTTCAGTGACCAGACTGAAATAGGCAGTTGAGGGGAGTGAGTGTACTCTGCTGGCAGACAGGTCACAACTGTTGAAATGCACACATCCCTATGGAGGGATGAAAGACATATGTTGTTGATGCTGGAAATGAATAGTTCTTTTAGTAACTGGAGGGTTGGTGATTTGAAACCTCGCTTCCCAGATCTATGTGTCACATTTCTCCAGGGACGGACACCCTAACTCAATGCAGTGTCCGATAGCTTTATTTGTGTTTGAGTTTATCAATGGGCTAATAAGCATTGTATGAAGCTATCTTTTGGTCTAAAAAGATTCCACTACTTAACAGCTATACTCAAATAATAAATGTTTTAAATGATAATAAATACTTTTATACTACTTTATGTTAGTAACAAACATTTTGATATATAATAAATACATTCCTGAACCTGATTTAGAAGTCTTTACGACGTCCAAAAAGGTACGTTCAAATGTTGAGCTACATATTGACTTCCAGGCAGGGGCGTGGGTCAACGTCCAAATAGCATAGTGCTTCTCGTTTACTCGTTTTAGACCAAATTAGAACAAATTTCCAAACCCTATTGTCGAATGATTCATTGTAAGGGCAATGATGACAAAGAAGGGGGGATTAGACTACAGCCGAAAAATTATTTCAGTAGTGTTTGTTAACACCAGACTGAGAGCATGTGTAACACACCACATGCAGTACTAAGCAATGAACAAAATCCCCTGGATGGCCTTTGAATGCTAGCACCTTATTGGTTGAGTTTCATATTGCAATTTTTTAAGTAATTGTCTCAACAGTTGTTCTCACTAGTTCCACAGAGTATTCAGCTGCTAATGTCTCACAATCAATGAGACAATCACAGTAGTCCTTGGATGTTATATTTTAAGTTACGGCCAGTAACTTAAAATATAAAGTTCTCTAAAAGTTTGTTTTTGTATTAAAAAGCAGGTAAAATCAGTCAAATTTTTCATAATTTGTTATACAGTGGACGACTTCCTTCACTTCCAGTCTCGTGTCATATCTTACTCTTTGTAACGTAGTTACTCTAGAACCAAGTTTGTTTTTGTTTTCATGATCTAACTCTCCTGTCATTTCAGATCCGGCCCTTCCCTGTCATGCAATTACTCATTCCCCCTCACCTGCTTCTCTCCGCCCATCTCCTCACCTGCTGCTTATTAGCTCATTTGGTCTTCAGTATTTATACCACTCCCTTTCCACTTTGTCCCCTGCCAGATTGTCTTGTGTCATTCCGTTCCAAGCATTCCAGCGTTCTCTTGTTCTGCCTGCCCGTTTAGACCTCACGTTTGCCTCCCTGGATTTTGGATACCTGCCTGCCCCTTGTCGGATTTGTTTGCCTCTTCAACTGATCTCCTGGTTTTGACCCCTGCCTGTTTTTGGACTGAGTAAAGCGTTTTTCCCTCACTATTTGCCTGTTTGCCTTGTCGTGCTTTTGGGTTCTCTGTTGCCCGGACCAGTGGTCGTGACACTCTTTGAATACATTCAGTGAGGTATTCGAAAAGGGAGACATCTGTTTGCTCAGCCACAATATCATTTCCAAATAAATTACATGGTTCAAAGTCATGTTTCCATGACCATAGCTGGCAACACTATATTACCTTTTAAGGCACCACTTACATTAGCCACACTTCCCATCACCTGCCTCTTCTTCACTTTGTCAGTGAGCTGACATTTGTTTCTCTTTCATTAAGCTCCCAACATCAGCTTTACTGGCCTTTAGGAAATATGCCTTTTCAGGAAATATGCCTCTATGAAGCCCATTTCACTCTTTTCAAGGATTGCAGCAAACCACCTTTAATAAAGCAGTGTCTCTGGCAGAAGGCCTGGCAAACATGAAACACAATAATATTGCAAAAAGGACCACTTCCCCGCTATAGAATACATTTTATTTGGAAATTGGTATTTGGGGATTTTGTTGTAGGCAGACATTAATAGTGGAGGGTTTTTTTGTTTGTTTTTTAAGCATCAGGGTTTGCAGCATTCCAGTCTTCTAAAACACTTTTGTAAATCAACTCCAACCTAATGTTATGTAATTAATACAATCTGCAATGTAATTTACAATCTGCTTCAACTAAATCAGTCATATAGTCTCACCCTAATGGGAGCAAAGGAAATTTAAAAACATATACAGAACCTTTTTTGGAAAGCCTGTGACATCCCTGTGTTACCCAAAGGACCAAAGGATAAAAGCAGCTAATCTGAAACATGTGGGTCTTAATGTTTAAGAGGCATGAGAGGAAAAACAGAGAGGTCTCTGAAGGTCAGAAATGAGGTGGGGTGTGACACTGAGTGGATAACAGAACGAGAAGGAGAGGTCGGAGATGGAATGTAATAGCATCTGCCTGAACAAAGGCCATCAGGAAGAGAAATCAAAGTAGAAGACTTTGATGGATAAAGAAAAACTGCAGCACTCTGGAGGCTGCACTTTGGAGGGCAGCCTCCAGAGTGCAGAAAAGATGGAGTGAAATGGAATGAGGCAGAGTCATGACAGTTAATCACTGTTAAACTGTACCATCTACAGTGTCTGCACCATTTTTTATGCCTTGAAATTATTAAAGTCAATTTGGCGCTTTGTGGTACATTACCACAATTGAACTACAATCTATTAAATTAATTTTGGAATTTGACAGTTATTGAATTTTGTGGCCATCTTTACAAAATACATTTCATGCCAAATAAGCGGTACAGGTGAAGCTGCTGCTCCATGAAGCGTCTGCATTCTGTGGAGGGATAAAAAGAGGTTGTTATTTAAAAAATCTATCCTGCCAGGAAAAGATCATTTAGCCAAAATTACATGTAAATTGTTATTTTTTATTCATGAAGATAGCATGTCAACTTTTCAGTTTAATGCCACACAATGAGCTCAAAGCGCATAACAATCAATTTGTTCAGTTTCTTCGAGTCACTTGCTGCTTTCGCAACAAATACATACAAAGCAAACTTCAGACTCCACCAAAGACACAAATGGCCCAATGCCACTAACCTTTACACAGCTCTACCTGGTTTTACTCAACTCAACTCTGTTTAAGTCGTTTTCCATTAAAACACCACATCAATGTAAATTTAACTTGTATGTGACACAAACCTGAAGCTAGTCCACTTGCTTCTCTAACCTTGTAAAACAATTAACAATACGCACATTAAGAGTATGTGTTTGGCATGATACTTATTTGAAAAACTGTAGATGTAATTTTCCTTCCAGATTAATCAACCACCAAACCTAGACTCTTCCATCAGATTGCCAGTTGGAGAAATGTGTTTCATCACCCCAAATAAGATGCTTTACATCACTGCAATGCAATCAGCGGTGTGGATGCAGCTTCTGGGCCATGGAAATCCTTCCATGAAGCTCTCTAGAAGCTTCAGGGAGCTATTTGCTCACCATTCTTGAGCTAGTCTGAAAGCCTTGTGACGCTTGAAGGTCAGTAACAATTGACTCTGAAGAAAGTTGAAGACCAACTTTGCTGTGGATGCTGAGGTCAGCATCCACTGTGTTTACATGGCTGACTTGCTGTCATTCCCAGTTGCATCCACTTGTGGATTAGTGAGCAAATACTTAAGTGATAGTGTAGGTAAGTCAGTAATGGCTGATTTGAAATGCGGAATGTCAGGGCAAATGATCTGGGGTCGCTGATGTCGTCATTATGAATATTTAGGAACATGTTCTGATAGCAGAGATGCATTTTTTCTTAATTTACAAGAACATTGCAAGACATAGTCCAAAGCACTGAAACTTTTTGTAAATCCAGCTAAGATTAAAGTATTACTATAGTATACATCCATCCATCCATCCATCCATTATCAATACCGCTTATTCCCTCATGGGGTCGCGGGGGGAACTGGAGCCTATCCCAGTGGTCAACGGGCGAGAGGCAGGGTACACCCCGGACAGTCCGCCAGTCCATCGCAGGGCCACACACAGGACATAC